ACTCTTCTTTCTCTGCCACATGCTTCCCAATCCCACACATACACTCTCTAAAATTTTATTTTTATACAGTGTTATATTTTCAAATTTCTTTTTGAATTTTAGGTCTGATGAATTGGATTGTGATTACGATTCCAATGGTAATAAATTATAACCATGGAATATTAGTGTTTGAGCCTTTTATATTATATTCTTCCTGTCTCCTGAACATTGAGTCCTACCTGGATTCTATCCTCTTGGGAATTTATTTATATATATATATATATATATATATATATATATATATATATATAATATTACCATATATATATATATATATATATATATATATATATATATATATATATATTGACCACTAATATGATATATATATATATATATATATATATATATATATATATATATATATATATATATATATATGAAATTTCTCCGATTTAACCAGTAGAAAGACAATATTTATGAATAAAAATGACAATAGGAAAACTGGTAATTGCTGACGCGTTTCGTCAATGTGGACTTTATCAAAGCAAAATACGAAAATGAAATTAAATGAACAAAGTAACTAATAAAAACAAAAAAGAATGTACCTAGCAACTGGAATGTAGAGAAACGCTATTTTCATATTTTTTAACTGAAAATAACGTCAGAGATTGTCACGTGTGGAGAATATTGTCATTATATCTGTGTTGACGTATTCAACCATTTTCTTTTGATTTTATGAATCTGTTGTGAATATTTGTTTGTAAGAGCATTAATTTTGTTAAGAAAGGTGAAAAAACCTAGGCGTAGATTAATATTTGGGTAATTTTCTGGGTGGCACTCTCCAGAATTTTCCTTCTGAGTGAGTTATTTTTTTTTTATGAGTGTAGCATTTTAAAATCAAAATTATGGTTGAATTTATTTCTATGTATGACTATTGCATTAGCTAAGTTGTTTTTTGTGAGGTCTCTTTTGTGCTCATAAATGCGTTTTTTCAAACTTCTACTTGTTTCTCCAATATATTGGGAGGAACAGTTTTGGCAATTTATTTTATAAATGCCTGCTTCAGAAATATCAGTGCTATTATTGTTTGAAGATTTTAGTATATCTATAATGGTTTTGGAAGTGTTTGTGACTATTTCAGGATTATTTAGATGGGATAGGTTATTCTGGATCGTGGACGTGGCAGAATTGGTCGGTAGTATTATGTATCTGTTTTCATGTGATTTACTATTGCGGATTGTGTTATTAGTTTTGTTTCGTTTGTATATTTTGTATGTCTTTCTTCTTGCATTGTGGATGAAATGGTATGGGTATTGTAGGTTTTTGAATGTGTTTTCTATGTATGTTTCTTCTTTAAATAAATATTGAGGACTACAGATTCTTAATGCTCTTAGATAGAAACCTATAATAATTCCAGATTTAATTTTTGAAGTGTGGTTTGAGTAGAAGCTGATGAGATCATTTTTGTTTGTAGCCTTTCTGTAAACGTCAAAATTGAGTTCGTTGTTATTTCTAATTAACAAAATGTCAGGAATATATATATATATATATATATATATATATATATATATATATATATATATTGAGCACTAATATATATATATATACACACACAGGAATTCTACTTTTGGGGAGTAAAGCCTTTTTCCATATTTCGGGAGTAAACCTCTCCCTATTTCTTTTTCGTCAAGTCTTTCTTGATGAGATTTTAATGCCTTTGTCAAAAGAACCGTCTTTTCTCACGTTTGCCCAGACTTCTCTCTTTACTTCATTTTTTTATGGAAGTGTCGGCGTTATGTGATAATGAGGTGCCGTAAACTAGTCTCCCAAAAGCGAGCATTTAATGTCCGTTGTGGCGAGGGTATGAATGAGAATGTGACTTTTTTTTTTTTACTCTGCCTTTCGCTTTTGTGGTCGGACAGAAGAGTGGGGTATGAGAGGTGAGTGGAGGCGTTAGGCGTGAGACGGTCGATCGTTGAAGGCGGGGAACGACCAACTGAAGTTTGATACACTCGAGGGTGGAAACAGATAATTAAGTGTTGTCATCACTACAAAAAGGGGGCAGAAAAAAGATTATGCGATAAAAAAAAAATCAATCAGCTAAATCTAGCAATAGCAAAAGAGAGAGACTGACGAACGGACTAAAAAAGTCACCAGTCAGGCTACATAGCATAGCAAGCTCCTGCAAGAAGGGACGTGAATTCCAGTCACAGTCGAACCAACTTCAATGGTCGAAAAATATTAATCAAAAGGATAAAAATCAAGAAGGGAAGTGAAAACTGACCAAGCACTCTCGAAAATCATATCATAATTCGACTGGTAAGTTATTTAGTAAGTTAGTAAATTCGTATACTTATACCTATTTAGCGACGAAGAATTAGATTTGTGTCTATATATATAACGCATAACAATAAAATATACTAAAATAATTTTCGGACTTAGTCCATTTCATAATATATTACATCATTTGTTTACGAGCAGATATGAACGTCCGAGGAAAATCGTGGAAAATTTGTAGTTTAAAAGCAGTAAAATCGACCTTACTAACCAGACGCTCCCTTGTAGCTAAACTGGTATAGCACGTCAGGCTATATGGTGGTTCCGTGTAGGATACAGGTTCGTCTGAGGACGCATATTTTCTATAAAATTTCTCGGAGGTTCAGGCCGGTAAATGTTGTTAATACTGTTTATTAAAGACAGGGCATTTACTTAAATATTTGTGTCGATATATATTACGTATAACAATAAATATATTAAAATATCAAGGAAGGCACGGTGGAGTAATGGATACTCCCTCAGACACTAACTCACTATCTCTCTCTCTCTCTCTCTCTCACTCACTCACACTCTCCCTCTCTATCTTTCTCACTAATCATATAGAGAGAGGCACGGGGGAGTAATGGATAGCCGCTCGGATTGAGGAATCAGAGAGCCGAGTTCGAATTCCAGTCAAATCCATTACATTCATTTATGTGCTAATACCCTTAGCACACGAATGGGTAAATAGACTGGGTTCTATAGCCTTGGATGGCAACTGGTCTAGGAGAAGGACAACCCAGAAAGTGTGGATAGTTCTGCACAAAACCTTTACCACTATAATCAAATCTCATGTTCTAGTATCTGGCTGTCGGATCCTAGGAACTGAACTCATACAACAAGAGAGTCGAATATATATATATATATATATATATATATATATATATATATATATATATATATATATATATATATATGTGTGTGTGTGTGTGTGTGTGTGTGTGTGTGTGTGTGTGTGTGTGTGTCTGTGTTGTGCCTGTGCCTGTGTGTGTGTGTGTGTAAAACTTATATAGAAATAAAAAGATAGTATGATTATAGCCAGAAGCAAAACATTTCTTTACCGACACGTTTTGTCCCATCAGGGACATTATCTAGGTAAATGTAACGATTTTATCTTTCCCCGGATTCCTTCTCCTAAATTCTTCTCATTCAGCGTGTGTCTAAATCCGTCCGAATGGAGCTGTGGTCAGAGAGATGTTACCTGAATCTTCTATACACGGAAACTTACCAAACTACATGCGCAACAGGTTCGTAGAAAATACAACTATAATAGCCTCATCCACGGGTAACGAATGGCTAAAATAATGGAATCATTAATAATTTCTTTTAAAAAAAGCAAAAAAAGTAGCATTTAATAGCAACATCAACTATGAACACGGCCACAATGTTCTGACCGTGTTTGGAAAATGAAATAAAAAGCTTAATGGCAGTAGCATATCACTCGTCTTCAATGAAACTTGCACATATACATACATTCCTATCTGTAATAGATCTACATTTGATATTCAACCCATATATATATATATATACGTTTCATTAAATAATATAGACAAGTGTTGTCTATTTATTTTATGTAATTTTTTTTCATAACGTCTGATAAGTTTAATAACATTATCGTTGAACGAAGAAAGAAATTCACAATATTGATCCATATTTTTTTTAATACAATCTAAGCTTTCGGCTTACATAAGCCATTATCAAAGATGTCAATTACAATATATTAAGCAATATACGGACACGACAGTGATGATTGTCTGTCATTGTTTACATAGATGATTTCTAAGCAACGATAAACACGTGCATATAAGACGCTAGAAGCGAAAATCACACCGCATCTCATGGCGTAACACATGGCCACACGAGAGTGAATTGGAGAAATATGAAGTATGGGAATTCGTTGGTATATACACACACACACACATATATATGTGTGTGTGTTTGTGTGTGTGCGTGCGTGCGTGAGTGTACACACACACACACACATATGTGTATAATTATTTATTAATTTTTTTCATATAGCCCAAAACAATTTACTCACTACAAAGATGCAACTTCGTTTCAGTGCATTTAATAATAATGATTATGAACGATTATGTTTGTAAGCAACCCGCATGTGAAACGTAACTTCTTTTTTTTCCATTCGTTTGAATATATATATATATATATATATATATATGAAAGCAAAAGGTGACGGGTTGAAATAATAGTGTTTGTTGATAGCAGTCTTGTGAAGGATGGTTGAGGTGTTAAAGTGATGGCTAAACCTGAAAATTTTCTTCTTTCGACAACAACGGTCAAGGGTTTAGCACAGCATTTAACAGAGTGAAGGTCGGGGGGAGGAAAGGTAAGAATGGGAAATAGTAATACGCTGTAAGAGGAAAGAGGGATAAATTCAAACGATAGTTATATTAGTAACCTTGGAAATGCCGTGTCTAAACTCTTGACAGTTGTTGTCGAAAATAACTCGCATGTGACAGAGGACAGATATGTTTGGACCGACGCTAGGACATGTGTTGCTTGGATAAACCCATGTTGAATTCTGTGTTTTTCTCTCTTTCTTTTTTTTTTTTCTATCTATTCCATATTTCTTTCTTTCTTTCTTTCTTTCTTTCTTTCTTTCTTTCTTTCTTAATGTTTCCCCTTTCCCTCTTTTTATTTCTTTCTAATATTTCTTCTTTCTATCTGTCTTTTCTTCTATTCAGTCTATATTTCTCCGCCTCTTCCTTTCTTTCTTTCTTTCTTTCTTTCTTTCTTTCTTTCTTTCTTTCTTTCTTTCTTTTTTCTTTCTTTCTTTCTTAATGTTTCCCCTTTCTCTCTTTTTATTTCTTTCTAATATTTCTTCTTTCTATCTGTCTT